TTTACAAATTAACCAATCAAGAAACACTTCGAAGTATTCGTAGTGGCAACTCGACCGCACTCTTTCACACTGGTTTTAACTTTTCGGATTTGAAACAGACCGTCATCATTTAATATTTTTTTTTAAGTTTTTAATTGTAACGGAGAAAAAATATTAAAGTAGTTTCGTGGAAACGTGGACTTTTTAAATTAAAAAATTTTAATTGAATCCAAATTTTAATTATGCAGTGATTATTTAAATTGACATGAAAGATTTTTATATTAGTCAAATAATAGAAGATTGACCATTTCGAAATAATTTGTGATCTTGAGGAGAAAATTTAGATCGTGTGAAATTATAAGAATCCGAATTGCTCTTACGTTTTGTTTGTGAATTATTGGAACGCTGAGTACTTTGACGTGTATGCTGAACGAAGGAAAGAATTGGGGAATGATCAATTTGAGAATCTACATACATATGTAGTGCGATTTGATGTTGAATGTGGAATCAGAGAGTAGTTGTCAGAATCAATATGTGCATTATTGTCAAAGGAATGTAGAGTTCGAGAACGGTTTCTGTGAGAATCTACATGGGTAGTGCGGTTTGATGATAAATGTGGAATCGGAGAGCGGTTGCTACGAGAGTCTACGTGAACAGTGCGATCAAATGGACAATGTGGAGTCAGAGGATTTCTTTGTGAAAATAACTTGATTAAAGGAAATTTACAATGAGAGAAACTATTAGGTTAATCGAAAAGTTCCGTCCATTTATTTGCAAAAAGTATAATTTTATTTAAGACACAAAATGGAAAAGTATATCAATCAAAACATTATCCATCGTTAGAAATGACTTTTTCCCATCTTTCGGGTAGCAAGTAAATTCCGCGACGAAAGAATGATTCATCTTTGGAGGCTACCCAACCTCCCCATCAGAAACCCATTTTTAAACGTCTTCATAAGAATTGAAGCGTTTCTCAACAAGTGCGTGTGCCATCAATCGAAACAAGCGGTAGTTGCGGAAGGAGCACAATTTGGCGAATAAACCGTATGGAGTAATTCAATGTTTCTTTAACAGCCTTAGTGACGTGAGGTCGAGCGTTGTCATGAAGCAAAATCACTTTATGCTGCCTTGTCTCATATTTTGATCGTTTTTCGCGCAATGCTCAGCTCAAACGGATTATTTGTTCTCGGTAGAGATCTCCTGTGACTGTTTGACCAGATTTCAACAGCTCATGGCACACTACACCCTTCTAGTCTCATCAAATACAGGACATGACCTTCTTCCTATGAATATTGCGTTTTGGCATCGATATCGATGATTGGCCTGAATCGCAAATAGTTTTAATCGGCGTTTGGGGTTATCGAAAAAGATCCACTTTTCATCGCCAGTTACAATTCGATGCAAAAAACACCTTCCTTTGTTGCCTAGCAAACAGAATTTCGCAGATGGTTTTTCGTCTATCAATGTCTCTTGGCTTCAGTTCATATGGGACCAATTTTCCTTCTGTAGATCTTTCCTAAGACTTTTAAACGATCGGAAATAACAGATTGAGCACAATTTAATGCTTCTGCAAGTTGTTTTTGCGTTTGACAAGGGTCTTCATCCACCAGCGCCTGCAATTCTTTGTCTTCAAATCTTGGCCATCCAGAACGTTCTTTGTCCTCCACATCAAAATTATCACTTTGAAAGCGTCGAAACCATTCTCTGCATGTTTTATCGGAAGGAGCACTATCACCGTAAACTTCTACAAGCATTTGATGTGTGTGAGCTTCAGTTACAATTTTCTTCCATTTGAAGCAAAAGATTAACATTTAAGTGTTAATAAATTAAGTGTTACAAAAATCTACGAAGAATGTCAAGGTCAAAGTCATGGTAGGTGTTTCCTATTTTCTAGATATTTACTGGAAAGACATATTATTGTATTTATACAAAATTATACTTGTAAGTCTAAATATCTCAGAAACTATAAAAGACCGCCGCCTAGTTGTTAAGGCAAAGTTACTCAGAATCATGACCTTGACAACATAAGTCAAGGTCAAGGTCATCGATGAGGTGTCTCCTAATCTGTATAATTACCCAGCCTTTTACCGTGGCGAGGCACTATACACACACACACAAGCATGAGCTCATGTGTGCTCGCCTTTGGCTCGAAAATGAGCACACGAACATGAGCTCGTACTTTTGTGTGTAACTACCAGTTTACCAAGCCGCCGACTAATTCGGTGTCGCTACCATCAACACGAAGTTTTTAGTTGAGTACTCAGGAGTTAGGAGCCATAAGACTCTCGTGTATGATATTCTTGTTGATACTGTGGAAATACTCCGAAATCGTATTATCGCTGCGTGTGAAAAAATACTAAATACTCCTAGAATTTTTGTAATGAAAATATATTATATATAAGTAAATAAAAAATGTATATAACTTTTAAAAAAAGCGTTTCTGAACCCATATTTATATGACTTTTTTCGTCTTTACAATGAGTGGAATATGTTCTAAAAGTTGGCCAACTATTTTTGAAGCACTATATATACGAAAATAATAGAATTATGTTTAAGAATAATTTAAAAGATATCAATTGGTATATTTAGAAAAAGGGCGAAAAAAAGTTTTAATTTTTTTCTTTTTGACATGTTTCACCAAATCTAAATATCTTGAATGTAATATATGATAAGATTTATCTGCTGATTTATTTTAGAAGTAGTCAAATCATATAAAAGCCCAGAGCAAAATATTAGCAGAATGTCGACAGATTGATAGCTGCAGATTTGATAAAAATGTTAACATATTGATCTCAACTGATGTCACATTCTGCACCTGTTTTGTTGATATAATCTTTTAATCCCTTGATCTCAACCTCTTATGCCCGTTTCCACCAATGTAGATTAACTTTATAATCTCGGTTAAACTTACTGTTCATCTTTTTCTAATTTTTAGAACTAGAAAAAGACGAAGAGCAAATTGAACCGAGATTAAAGTTAATCTACATTGATGGAAATGGGCATTAATCTCTTAAATCTTAATTTCTTTAACATTCTGTGTTAACAAATGGTACGAAAATGGAACAGAACGCTTGTTGACATTTTATGCCAGCAAGTTGGCAGCAAAAACTGAATAGGATGTTGAGAGAATCTACTATACTATATATGTAAATTAAAATGGATATTTCGGATCTACATTTAGAAACCACCGGTCTTTATTCAGTAAACGTAATTTAATATAAATATAATTATACAAATAATCACATACTTTTCTATTAACACTTTATAACACAAATTAAAATTTATAAATTAATATAAACTAATATTAACAAGTTTTTCGTTATGTTAGTAAAACGCTGACGTATTATAAATTGGTAAGTCAATCCAATGCCATGGAATAAAATAAAAAAGTCAAGTACAATAAACTTTTTTACATACAGAAGTTGAATAAAAACTGATATATGTCGTTTTTTGTCATAAGAAAAGAGTAGTCGCATCTAAGTATGTCAAATCGGTATGTATGTTTACAAATACAGATAGGTCATCAAATCTATCGTGTTCGGCAAAAGTCAATGACCATAAATTAAAAATTAATTTGAGTATATGAATCTTTTACAAATAGGAAAAATATTTTATGGAAATATTATAAAGACAAAAATATATATGTGTATATACACATATATATATATATATAAAATTATACAGATTATAAAATAAAAATTTACATTGAAAGCAAGGACATTATAATCCATATATAGGCCTGTTCTTTTTAGCTGAACTTTTTGCACGATTCATCCTTTACCTTTTTTCTCCAAAACGAAGAAAAAAGGAAGAAAAATAAACCATACAAGAACTTTAGCTGAAAAGAACATATCTCATATATAATATATTATATTAATGCAATCAACGCTCAAATTTAAATGAGAATACCGCTCTGTAGGATAGACAAAAGAGTTCTATTTATTTATTATTGTTATTTCGAATAGATTTTAATAAGACAAAATAAGATTCGAAACATTCTGTATTTCTTTGTAAATTAATCCTCTCAATTTGTTCTTTACGTATAATACGTAGCTTTCTCAAAATTCTCTTTTATTATAGTTGGTATTTAAGATTTTACTACTTTCCTAATCAAGCGGATAATTATCATTCAAAATATGTTATGTAATGACAGAGTATCTCGATTATCATCTAATATTACTTCTGTCACAGAAGTAATATGTTCACAGAAGTTCTGTGTTCATTAATTCGAATTCCAAATTCTCTCTTAGTCTCTCCTACATATGAAATCGCAAATTATTGCAACTTATTTTACCGCATTCTAAATAGAAAATTTGTTCAATTTATGTCTTCATGTATTTTAATAAAAGAACTAAATATTTATTTAAATATCTGTATCCTATTGGGACAGTGGATTTAATAAATAGACATCGAATTCTTATACAATTTCATATTTTTTAGAAAAGCACAGATTGGAAAGTAATATCAAAATAGATATTGTTGCAAATCATTCTAAAAATACATATTTGTTTGAGTATATTTGCATATTTGTATACATTTGCGTTTTTGTGCATGTCCACAAAAAATATCTGCATAAAAAATCCGATGTCTATTAATAAAGGACATAATGGTATTTATTACAATTAGTAAAAATGGTAAAATAAATTTTTTTACCGAAAATCTATAATCATTACACATATAAAAATAAATAAATATGTATATGAATGCTATATAATTTTAAAAAATATGTAACAAAAATATTCTTCGGCACTTTTCCGATACTTACTAACAATAAGTATTGAATGCTCAGCAGTCAAAATTGATCTTTACACGGCTATTAAAATATGTTTTGCTTATAAAATGTTGTTGTGCTTGCAATTTGTGTATATGAAAAATCTGTTATTTTTTTAGTAACAACCGTATAATTTGATTCTTCCATTTAAATCCCTCTATAAGTACGAAGAGCGATGATTGTGCTGAAGAGATATAAACCTGCGTTTACCAGGCCGCAAATCTAGATAACAATTAAAGTAATATTTATATAATAGTGGTATTTATACATATTGTAAACTATAATAAGATCTATATAAGTAATGTGCATGTAAACAGTTCAAATCTAACAAATCAACTTTTACGATTTTGACGTTTTTGTTAAGAAAAAATTTACTAGAAGTTGATCAAGAGAATTAAAAGTCTTTAAATGAAAGATAGTTCATTAGATTTATGACATTTTCTTAGATAACATTTATGTCACATAAGGTATCTAAATGACATCTTTTAAACGTCTTATCTCTAAAAGATGTCTAAAAGACATGCAGTTATCTGGATTGCAGTACAATTGTATACAAATTGAAAGGGATGACACATAACATTGTTATACTGTTACCGTTATCGGTATAACTTTTTTATAATAACATTTTATACGAGTAATAGTTTTTTATGACGATAACAATAATGTTATGGTTGAAATTTTATGCGTTACGTAACAATTAAGATAAATAGTTACTTTTTTTTAATGAGAAATATATAATAGTAAACGAGTTACTTTCAGAAATGACTATCCTAATCCTGGCTATTATAAAAAAATATAACGTCATTATCAAATAATTATTACAAAAATGTAAAGGTAATGGCGTTATTCATAGCACGTTATTTATCATCCCTTTAAATTAATAATTTAAATTAAATATTATTGTACATAATAATATTTTATAACATTGTACATACGGAGGCACCTAATAACACTTCATAATCATTGTAACGTTTATAGTTATTGATGTGCACCATGAGTGTCAATGAAGCCGCAAGTACCAATCCAAATGCAATGGAATGATAAAGAAGTTCCTAAAAGTATCAAAAATTATATCAATCATTACATCGTTAGAATTATTATGGAGAGAGAAACATGTTTTTATAATTCTCACATTTTTAATATTATTTAAATAAATTTTTACATTAAAGAGTATATTTTTCTTTTATCTTACACAAAAAGTACGAATTTAATTATTTACTCACACACAAGTAAAATACAAATATACACAAATATAATAGATTATGTAAATTATATTGTATTTAAAAATTAACAAAAGATTATATATAAGTTAAGTTATATTAAATATAATTACAATTTTACATATACATATTTTATTTTTGTACTTACATAAAGAGTTTTAGATATAATAGATGCAGTAGAAAAAGATGTCAGGCAACTTAAAAGAAGAATGAAAGTGCCAATCATAAACGCAGTCGTTATAAGAAGAAAGAAAAGCTCTGCGGTATTTCGATAAATTAAATTGTTACTGAATTCATGACCAGCTATTCCTACGCAAACAATACCCAGTGCCTGTTTGTAAAAATATGAAAATAATTCAGATTATTAAAGAGATAATTTTCTTATGTAAAAATTAATTAGTAAAAATTTATGTATACTCATCAGTTAAAAAAAAAACGGTACATTATAAATTTTTTCCAAATTTATAGTGTACCGCTTTTTTGTAACTGAGTGTATACATATATATACATATGTGTGTGTGTGTGTGTGTGTGTGTGTGTATGTGTGTGTGTGTGTGTGTATGTTTGTATATAATTACAATATTTGTAGGACCATTGGTATTCAAACACAAGTAAATAAAGGCCTAATGACGATGAAGCAGGATTTTGGTTGCTAAAGTAATGTGTGAATTTTCTTTACCACGTAATCAAAAATTGTTAGATTGCTTGTCAATTTAACTAAAGTGATATTACTACGGTAGTCGATTAGAGTTGCGGTGTAAGTCTGAAAAATTTCGGCACGCGATTGAGTGACTACATACGTGATAAATAAAATTCACACATTACTTTAGCAACCAAAATCCTGCTTGATCGTCATTAGACCTTTATTTACTTGTGTTTGTATATAATTGTATATATGTAAAAATTTACAATAATATCTATCATTACTTTTAATCTATCGTTAATTTTCAATTAACATCTTAAAGATGATGGTAAGATCGAAACGTTATCCATAACTTATAGTCTATTAATTTATCAATTTATATTTAATCCTCCGTCAACAATGTTCAATTTTAATGGCACAATTGATTTTTGATTGTAAATTCCGATAAATAAATTTAAATTTGAAAAAAAAAGTAAAATGCAATCTAACTTTTATGATAGTAAAACGTCGTTAAAGCTTTCACAAGTATGTACAAAAATTTTTTTTAATTTTTATGCAGTGTGAAACAATATAATCTGCATTGAATGTCGAAGACCCAATTGCGGACGAAGAGTGAAAATTTCTATAGCTGACGAAGGCTTAATATATTGCATAATATTTATGTTACAATATTTAGAATTGTTTTCACAAAAAATCTGCTTGATTCATTTAATTTTTTTTAAAGTTGTATTATACAATTTATATATAATAATTTACTGAAATTATTGTTTTTATTGAAAAATTATTGCTATTATCCATAATTAACTTCACACAAAAAAATATTCTGCCATTTAGCGGTTCTGTATTAATATCAGGCGATTTTCCATTTATATACGACCTATAAAGAAGATATTCTATAAAATAAAGGAATTTTATATAAAAAAAAATAAAGTGCTGGATTTATAATTGCAATCCTCTTAATGCTAGAAAAATGTCTTGCACTTACGCGCGCGGTACCATGTAAATAACAAACTTCGAACAATAAGTGTGTCGCTAGTATCGTGTTTACCCAGAGAGCACTTCATATCCTCTTATTTCAAAAGACCATTCCAGTTATTATAATAGAATTTTCTATAGAGAATTTATTTATATTTAATCATAGCTCACACATGTGTCCTCAATTTTTTAGATGAAACGTGTTGTAAATATGTATACACGCGCTTGATTCATGTAAGATTTTTGCTTAGAAGAAATGCTAAGAGGAATTTTCCGTTTATCGACAGAATACTTTTTTTGGGGTGTAAAAAACCAATTTGCATTGAAAAATAATAATGAACGCTTGAAGTAATTAAGAAATTATTAATAATAACTTAAGTAAAAAATTAAATATAATATAATAATTAGATGTATACCAATTGTAGCAGCTTCAAAATACCGCTCCAAGTTTTCAAGTAACCGGTATTGAGAACGATCGTGGACGAGCCGCTTGTCACTGTTTGCGTTCTAATCGTCACTGAATGAGACATCTTTTAGTGGATTTAATGTCAATTCTGAAAATGAAGATGATTGTGTTCTTTTTATTTTCTCTCTCTCTCTCTCTCTCTCTCTCTTTCTCTATTGTTATTTATAAAGATTCCATTCAATATGCGTAAGCAGAAACGTTTACTTGCGTCAAGTAGGACAGGGTCAAGATTTCGAGATGTGACCTACATCGAGCAAGAATCTTCACCGTTTTTCCATGTAAACAGGAATACCTATGTACTTTTATTTTCCCTCGAAGTTCGAAATTTGTATACCTTTGCAAGTTATATGTACATTTATGTATACTTTAGTTATATATCTATATTATATACATATAGATATATGTGTATATGTATTCGTGGTATGTAAACTTATATATGTATATATGTACAAAACATCCTTTAATGGTCCGAAATATCCAGACACACCCTTTAAGTTTGTCCGATCAATAGTGCGTAGAGACCTTCGGATTTACTTTCTCTCGCTGAAGAGACGCCATAAATACAAAAAAAATATTTTGATTCTGAATGCTAATTTTTGTAATTTTTATTAAATTTTATTTTATATTATTTATTTTATATTAAGTTAAATTATATGTTAATGAAATTAGCTGTAATATACTATTAATATAATAATTATATTAAATTTGATATGTACGATAGTTGTAATAATGCCACATACATTTTCATTTAAATTATGAATAAATTGAATTCAATGTATGATTATACAAGTTTGTAATGTTTCTTTTAGTGTAAACAGTATTCTATTGATGTCGTATTTCTCTAATAAATAAAATTAAAAATTGAATAGTTCATCAATAAGAACTACATCAAAATAAATATATTTTATATCTTGCTTCTTCCAATTGTAATAACTTATTATTATTCAAACATTTAAAAATAAATTGCAAAAAGTATAAATTTTAAAATCTTATAAAATATAAGAAATAATCACAAAATAAATATAAAATAAGTTTTTATGCAAAATGACAATGATTTATCGTAAATAAATATAGGAAGTATATAACAATTGTTTAAAAATGTTGAATAGAAAGAATTATGGCTTGCATTTTATACATAATATTTTATGTTTATAATATTGTAAATAAACATTAAATACTAAATTGTAATATAAAAATATAAGTATAATGTAATAATAAGTATTAATATAAGTATTAATGTAATATAAAAACGTTCTTTCGTACCTTTTAAAAAGATTACGTATGCACTTCTCAAATTTCAAAATAACTTCACATACAAAATGATTAGATATAATAACATATGGAAAAGAAGAAAAAGAATGTTACAAGTTTATTCTAAAAGTTGGACGAACCACATATTTATACTGTGATATTAACAATGAGAAGTATCAAAATCAGTCATGTGAAAATTTGGCATTACGTGGAAATTGAAGCCCGCGTTACGAACAAGCAAACGTCCGCTTACGCAGTCATGAGTTATTTTTAAGTATTCAGAACACACACATAAGGCGTGAGTTAAAAATTTATCAAAACCACCGATCGAATATGTCATTATATCTGATAAATTCTGTTGATGTTTCTTAGAAAAGATAGTAAAATATCGCCATTGATTATATTGTATCTTTAATATAAGAGTATATATATGATACTATAAATACTTTACTCATATATTTTCGACATATTATATTGAGTAAAGTTTAAACCTGATCTCTTACTAATTTTATTAAAAATTTAACAATTTACGCTGCAATTGCATAAAATGCGAATCCTTTAGATATATTCTATTATACAATCAAAACATTGGATTCAACACAAATGAGAATAAAAAATATCTTTTGAATTTTCTTGACAGTGTAAGAAAATTTTGTTACTACGTTAATATTACAAATATATTTGCGTAAGTTTAGGTTATAATTATTATCGAATTATTGTAATTTTCAAATATTACGCGTTTATTTTTTATATGTGAAATTATTCAATTTATATTACAATTGGATAGATAATTATTCAAAATAAAATTGAATAAAAAATTATTTAATATATATGATGAATAATGAATCAAATTTTAATCAAAAATATAAAAAATCGCACATGCCATACGAAGATATACTAACCTGAAAACACGTTGTTACACACCAGCCGTCAGCGACTGACTGAAGCATTGCGTTTTGAACGGGAAACCAAGGATGACGTCATTGATGATATCATACATCCATACATTTTTAGATATAACGTGTGTACGTATACTATAATCGATGTAAATACACCGCGATTCTTAATGAAGTAAAATAAATAAACATATTGAAGATCGTCTTTTTGACGGAAAATAATTTAATAAACAAAGAATATAAAATAACGAATGCGTGATAAAGCGTTTAGTATTGTTCACAACGGCATGCTAATGTAATGTATTAATTTGCATCTTCTACATATATTTATATGACTCTTTGCATTCATATCCAATGCAATATAAAAATGGAAATATTCTGCATGAAAACTGTCTATATACAAAAATCAATCCTCGAATGTTATTGATGTCTTATGTCTTATGTATGTACATAAATAAACAAAATTATTGCGCTAAGCTACACAGTAAGAATGATATATTTTTCTAAAATATCTAAATATTTAACTATAAAATACTGATCTGAATATAATTTTATTGGATCATTATAATAATTATGTATAGAAAACTTAAGCATGACGAACAATAAACTAACAAGAAAAAGGAAACCGCAATGATTAACGGTCAAAGCCAATAACGGTCAAAGCTGGATCACAATGCTTATTAAAATTATGTGTGAATTTTATATACCGCGTGTGTAGTTCCCCTATCGCCGAAATTTTTTCAGACTTACAACGCAACTCTATAACTACCGCAGTAATATCATCACTTTTTAGTTAAATTGTCAAAGCAAATCTAACAATTATTTGATGCTTGTATAGCATCTTATTACGATACGACTCCTTTTATCTCCTTATGTAGAGCATAGGACGTCTATAGGCCTCTTCCTCTTTTGTCCGAGGCCTATATTCGTTTCTCGAATCAGATTGTTTTTCGGATTTGTGGGTGATTGATCCACAGAATCCTACCTCAGTCAGATATTAGAGACAAATATCTATAACTAATATGTATACTGATGTATAGGACCTACAGTTTAACGCCGAATCCGAACGGCGCTGATGATCATAGATCTTTTGATCACCAGGTGGAGCCATTTTTTGGCTCATTAAACGCGAAAAATCGCGTTTGGGCGCACGTGGGATTGAACTCGGGTCTACATATCGCGAGTCAATCGCACCGAGCGGTGAGCCACTCGACACCACATAGCATCTTATTAGATCTTTAATAATATGTTGAAAGACATATATTAAAATTTGACGATGTAAATTTTAAAGTAATGATGAATCTATAATCTGTGAAAAATAAGATTGCGAATTCATTACTTTAAAATTTACATCGTTAAATTTTAATATATGTCTTTCAACATATTAATCATATTATTAAAGATCTTGTTTGATATCTACTATATTTAAATCACTCAGATTTTATATTAATACAATAAAAGCACTTTATTAATCATCGTACATAGAGAAGCGAAAAAGGTTAAACCTCCAAAGACAAAGACGACTCGGAAAGACAGAAAACAGCAGCAAGACAAAAAACAACATGAAAATATAATCATCGATAAAATCATTCCTCGGCAATAGATTCAATTCACAAACACCTGTAAACTTACATTAACATTAACTTATAAAATTACATCTCAACAGATCTAATAAGATGCTATATAAGCATCAAATAATTGTTAGATTTGCTTTGGCAATTTAACTAAAAAGTGATATTACTTTCGGTAGTTATTTAGAGTTGCGTTGTAAGTCTGAAAAAATTTCGGCACGCGATAGGGGAACTACACACGCGGTATATAAAATTCACACATAATTTTAATAAGCATTGTAATCCAGCTTTGACCGTTATTGGCTTTGACCGTTAATCATTGCGGTTTCCTTCTTCTTGTTAGTTTATTGTTTATCAATTATACAGTCGTAAAAATGATTCTAGTATATGATGAACAATGTTGCAAAAAATTTTATTTTCTAGCAATTAGCTTGAACACGTCCTACATAATTATTTTAACAATCTAACAAAACTAATTTCTAAACTATATGTAAAATACAGATCAAAAAATAATTTATAAAACTTAAATTTGAGATTGGCAGTAATATAAAGGATAAATAAGGAACACATACTTATAATATTAGTTTTTAATTTTACTTTATTTATATGTATATAGCATCCAAGCTTAAAAATAAACTTCGAAAATTAAAAAAAATGTTTGAACGCAGATATATATGTATATATATTATGTATATATCACCGCGCACCTACGTTATTTACGATGCGCAGTAAGTAGTGCTACACATAAACAATATTATAACAATATTTAAATTAACAATTTTTCGAAGATATATAAATGCGTAAATGTCAACGCGGTGTGAACTGAGAAATAACGAACAATTAAGTGAGAAAGATAAATAAGAGTGAATGCGTTCTTTCACACTAAATGATAATAAGAAAAAGAGCACATAATCTTAATTGCCAGCATAATGTCCGCTTTTAGTTTCAGTTAATCGCGTCACTAGTACTATCGCGCCGGCAATGATAACTTGCGAACACTACTAAGAGACGCGCAAAAGCATTTTTTGAATGTAGACTTCTTATTTAAACGTAACGAAAAAACGATTAATCGAGCTTTAAGCTATATCCATAACCGATTCTGTCAAGATAAAAATCTTCCTTAATCCATACAACAAATACGATTTACATGAAAATGAGTATAAGAATGTAAAAGGAAATTACATTATATCCGATCTAGAAAGAATATGTATATATAATATATATACTTATGTCATATCTATATATATTATGTATAAAGAAATATATATATATATATGTGTGTGTGTATAAATAAATCTCGCGAGAGTGCGCAAGGGTACGGTTAAAAAATAACGCATTTATATCTGTTGTACGAGAAGTTAAAACAAAACGAATTGACGTAATTTCCGGCAAAGATCATCCAATGTAGACTTCGCTAAGATAGTTTTAGATAATGGAGCACGTCTTTGACGATTGAATTGGATTGAAAGCCAACAATAGTCCTTTGGAAATTTACCGTACACTGCAGATATATTAAGGTTTCTTAAAACTATTTATCTTGTCGTCGATCAATGGATTATACGATCGAAGTGCAGTAATACAAACGAAATGACGCCAGTCTCATACGTAATTTTACAAAATTAACTTCAGATCTGTATGTGATATTAAATACAATAGAGATATAATTTATACAAGATGATAAATTATTTAATTAAAAAGTTAATGAAAACTAATAAAAATAGAGATGATGAAGAAATTAAATGATAAAGATTTTCAGTATATAATTTAACGACTATATAACTTTATCTAAAGATACATATTTATTTCTTTATTAACAAGCAAGTATAATATGTAAATAACTCTTATCATGAAATTACTAGAATTTTCGATAAAGACAATCTTTTGGCATTTAAAGTAATTATAAAATAGGTGTTGATTTCATCTCTTTAGATTAATTCTGCGCTATAATTCTCAGTAAATTACAATTTTCGCACAAACTTAATAAACATTATTGTCTTCAGGCAGGTATCTCGAATGTAGCATTCCGTTCGCTTCTGCGACTTCGTTGCAGAAAACCCTTTTCGATGCGGCACCGAATTTCGTTCTAACGACGACGATCTCGACAAATAACTAATTTTAAGGTACATAGGTACAGAGTCTTTTTTTAAGCTACACACGATCTGAGGAGAATCACGCCGGACTAGTTTCAAGTCGTCCCTCTCAGCGTTGACTTTCTTGTCAAGCATGATTTTGGGACCATGCTAAAATTTCCTTGGACGGTCGCTGAGAAATCGCGGATCTAATCGCGGCAATTGTTGTTGTATGCTCTTCAGGTACCTGGCTTATCCTCTGTAGGCCAACGATGCTCATTGCGTGTTAGTGCTCTTCCATTCGACGTATAGGAAATAAGCTCCGGCGGCGTATGCGATGGTATTGAAGATTCCAAATATCTATAATCAACGTTGATTGTATTTTAATAACATTGATGATTACTTTTACAGTTTTTAAAAGTGTCATACTAGCAAGCCTCACCCCAGCAGCGATATTCGATGATGAATATCTGTATGCGCTCCAAACCGATAGCTGAACGATGAATGCGATCATGTAAAGCAAAGTTGCTGAAGATGTATTTAGAAGTTCCTAAAAAAATGTTCATTTTTTAATTAAACACACATTACAACTTAAAACTGATTTCAAATATATTCATGTTTGTAAAAAATAAAAATAAAGTCAAATACAAATTTTTTTAAATATTTATGATAAGGCTCAATAAGTATTCAACTAAATAATATATTGAGATAAGGGCAATGAGCCAATTTTCATTAAAATCTTTCTTAAAATCAATCTAATATATTGCGAAGAATATCACGTAATGTTGGCGTTTCGTCCCGGCTTCCACTACTGGACTCATCAGTAAGGTATTGTAGTGGAAGCCTACCTTAGACGCCTGTTTTAGTTATTAAATCGAGATTCTATATATACAGAAATAAGCGTATCAAAGCACTTACGAGAATCTTAACGAATATCTATAGACCTCTGATGGCGGGTCGACGTACAAATTTTTTTTTTAAATATTGATGTCAAGTGACATGCAAATGACATATGAACAGTGGAAAGAAATGAGTTAAAGACACGGTTTGTTTAGCAATTCCGTCTATAATTTCTTTTTTTCACACTCACAGTTAGAATCCAGTTGATGGGCACCTTAAGCACCTCCCGGAGGGACAGGAAGTATATGACGCACCACATAAGTGTAGATATGAAGCATATTACCACAACAAACAGAAACCAGTGCGTTGCACCTGTGTACGCTGGAGACGCGCACGCCATACATATTATGCCCAGAACCTGAAAAATTATTAAACGCTTTTGTTATCATCACTAAGTAGCTAACCTAAACTAAAAGTTTTAACAATCATAATGACAGAAATAATACAAGCTGCACAAGCCAGTATGTAATTGATACCATTTTTATTATGCAATTTCAATTTTATTTATATGTTAACATGTTATTATGCTTACGATTCACTTGATGCTACAAACGCTTCAAAATATTTATAGCGTTAAGTGGACTACACCCTATATTTAAAGAATGTTCGACTGTAATTAGTCAATTATTCTTACATCTACAGTCACTTACAACTACGTTTACGCGATTGTAGAATGGGCTTAAAAATCATTTGATACAAAAAAAGTTGTCAAAATTTAAAATTTATTTTTCGTTCGTACATTTGGTCATAAGTACATGTAAAAAGAAAAAAACTAGTCACTAAAGTAAACTATTTTATATCATTTTAACCGCAAATTAATTTAATTATTGCAAAATTAAAAGAACAAATCTGACTAATTTTATTTTAAGTAGCATAATTTAGTCTTATAAGTTGTAAGAATTTAATTTATTCTTTTCGCAACTATATATATATATATATATTCATAATTAATATGTATTATTTTTTAAAAGTTAATAATTTAATAAAATATTTAAGGTAATTCGGAAAAAGATGCCACTTCGTTTATGATTTTTTCATATAACGCGGCCATTCTGAGCACAAGCATGTGATCAATATTTGCGCAGTTACCGACGGAAAAATGTTCGTACCAATCAACGTAAAAAAATACAATTTGATGAAATTGACAAAAAGGTAGGTTGTAAAATATGATATTATATAATATTTGATAAAGTTAATAGCTAAAACTTGCTGTAAAATCGAGCAAATGATGTACGATTTTGATCAGTTTCCTTGCAATCATATAAGTAACTGGTAGAAGTTATGATTTATAATATTCTTATATGCATAAAAGTTACAAGGACAGCTTTCCCTTATATTTTGAGAGCAAAATGACAGTAAGTACAACGTATAAAACATTTTTGTGCGTAACAACGTTAGTAAAACGATTTTATAAATTAAAATTTTGGATGCTTTGTATATATATAATTTGAAATACTTTAAGTTAATAAAATGTTGTTTGAATAAATAAAAGTATGTCCAATTACTTATTTCCTAAAAATTATGTTGTTTCATATTTCCTTAATTTATGTTTTATCATAAATTTGTATATTTTTATAACTTAAATTTTTAATTGCAAGACTGTTATGGATAAACAAAACATGCAAGTTTTATATATTGCGTTTACATTATTTATATTGTTTGTGGCATCTTACCACATCCGTGTGTAAATATAAAAGAATGCCATTTTTGCAGAATATGATATATCAATTTTTTTTAATAATATACTTGTATATAGTCCATACAGAATATCAAAAGTTTAATTCGTTGATTTGTATAAATACAAATAACATTATATCATAGCTTAATTCAATAACATGAAGAAAGTATTCAAAAATAAATGTTTAAGTGTTGCGTCTCCCCTTTGAGTCATCTTATGTGTAATTCATTGAAGAAATTTTCTGAGCACTTAAACTATCTTATCTTATCAATTCATATTTACCTACAACCTAAATTATCATCGTGCAAAATTGAAATAGTAGTCGCTCTTCTTGTAGGAGAGCCTTTTCAGATATGTTTTTGCATTTATACAAATTATTTATGTTTTGTAATCTTTTTTAACCCTTTTTACAAAGGTGTTCCATCAAATTTTGGAGAATGCAGCTTCTCCGCTATCATCTTTCGTGCCTCATCTCTAATTTTATAAAACTCTTTCAGATATATATCTATTTCTTCATCCTTTACCGTCTCACGTTTTTCTTCCAAAATCTCATCTTTTTCCATGCTATCGTAATGTTCAGGAAATTTGAGAGACATAAAATTATCAAAATGCTTATCCTGAAGAGCAGCTTTGTTTTTTGCTTTAATCATCTTCGCATTCCTCTCTTCAGCTAAACGCACCAATGGCAACCTCTTCTCCTCTAATTCCTGTGGAAAAAATGTCTTCTTCTCTAAGAGAACTTTTTTCATTCTCTCTTGCTGACGCAGTTTCCATACAGTATCTTTAGATTTCGGTTTTTTGCGTTCTTCTTCTTCGGCCTCCAATCTCAGTCGTTCTTCATGTTCTCTATGAAGTTTCATCCTTGTCATTTCAAGTTTCAATCTATGTTCTTCGTCTGCTCTAGTTTGCCTTCTAGCGATAGCTGTCGTGTCATTTTGAAGAAAATCTTTTAACCACGAAGAAAATATTTTCTTTCTTCTCACCTCTCGCCATATATATTCTTCAAACCAGTCCATTCTTTCAAGTATATCATCTTCGAATTCCTTTGGTTCCTCAAAAATACGAAATGCACTATTGCAGTCACCGGCACCGATTAGCTTGGTATCGTATTTACACGACTCTTGAAGCGATAAGAGAGTTATCGGTTTTCTAGAAATAGTCTGTGTGAGCACTGGCTTATTTGCCCATCTTTTGATATCCCAAACCTCCAGATCGCCAAAACTAGTACCCATCAGGAAAGTTCCTGGTTGATGACCCCAGCAACACGCGGTATATACGCAATTAGATTTTCGTTTAAACAGAGGAAGATCCAGATAGTCATCCTTCCAAATGGCGAAGACGCGGCCGCCCATCGTCAGGAGAACATTCGAAAGATGTGGCGATCGAAGAATCGTTGTAACGGGACCGTCGTGTGCAGACAAGCAATTAAGAAGTTTGCACTCCTCTAAAACGGACGTTTCCGTGTCAAACATTTGGCCCTCCCAAGTGCAGCAAGCAAAATGTCCCTGCGCTGTACCAATCCACAGTCTTTTCGTGTAGTCAACATCCGTAGAATCTAATTCATTACGCCTACCACTTTCTTGAAAAACATCAACGGATGGAAGGCACAGCTGAAGAGGTGTAAAAGATTGGTTCTCGGAAGGTCGAACGTTCAAGCGATACGTTGGCCGAAAAATACCGTTAAAATTCTTTCGATCGTTAGGCTTCAGCTGAGAGGTTACGGAGTATCTAAGAAGATCCCAAATGGCGACGATACCATCCTCGGAAATCGTTAGAAATTGAGAGCTCGAGTTGGTAGACAATTTCGTCAGTTTTCCGGATGGCTCTATCCTATAATTATCAGGAAGCCATTGTATTCGACGAATTGGCAGCTCGTGTGAATGATCCTGATCGGATATCATGAACGCAGAGGTAATAGAAACGGTGTCCTCAACATCTCGATCTTCTATCTGCCCGTGAATATTCCAGATGATTACCTGGCCGGACGCAGAACCGCCGACTATAAAGTCGGCATTCATTGGACAGAAAGAGATGCAGTAGATTGCCTGATGACACCATAATGACAATTGAGGCCGAAGAGAATCAGCAAGGGACCACAATAATACTGTCGGCTCCGGTTTCGACACAACGCCATGCTCTGACGAAAATCGGGTGATTTCGCGCGACGATGCAATAATGTAAGAAATAGCCACGTATTCAACAAGAGCTGGATGCCAGGAAACGTCGGAAATAACCTTGCCAACTGTGAAACTCAAGTCGATGAAGGAGAAGAGTTCTACGTAAGCGAATTCATATCGCGGCCGGGTCATTTCGTATTCTCGCTGTACAAGCATCTCGATGTCATCCACGTGCACGTTCACGACTGTATTGTAACACACAGCGTCAATCATTTCTTGAGCACGATTTTCCAAGAAGAGCTCCAAGGAGCTCTTTTCTATCGGTTTTTGTTCCGCGTCAATCTCGGACATTTCTTTTGATCCTTCGGTCGTCTTCTTTTCTTCAGACTCTTTTTCAGATTTCTCCCCGGCCAATTCTTTTTCTTCCATCTCTTTTTCCTCCTCCTCCAATTCAGCGTTATCATCTTGCAATCCCAAAGTGTCCTCATAACAGTATTGGGTCCAGGCGTTCTTAGGATAACCGGGATAAGTTTGTACTTCGATTTCCCGCGGCTCGAAGTGCGTTTGGATCATTTTGGAGACGCATTTTCTCTCAACATTCTCAAAACTCTCATATGGAATTAACTCCACATAACTGTCCCAAGATCCTTCTGAAGATCTGTCATAGAGCTGTCGGTTTAGACCTAAAGATTTAATAGGAAGACATACTTCCACTTCGAAGGACTCTCTCGTGCTTCTGACCAAGCTCTCATCTAATGCCGTCTCACTTCCGAGAGATTTCCACGATCTACTGACCTTCTTGATCTTTTGAATGACCTCACTCCTGATTTTTTTACTGATGTCAGCATTTCTTTTCGTTATTACCGATCTCGCATCCTCCGTTAAACAGATCACAAACTCCTGACCGATTAATTCAGTAGACGAATAGCCCACAAGGAAAGTATCGCCACCGTAAGCTTCGATCCTATCTCGATATAGCTCCAGTGACGAGTCCACAATGTTGGCGAGCCTCAAAACAGCTTCTCGCGATACATAAGCCCAAGGATATTCCAGAAACACGTGCTCGCCGACTGAGCAACCCAGTTCTCGCTGAACTTCGGGATCGAGACTCACATGCTCCACATTCTCGATATTTTCGTCGTGCAGCATCCAACTCGATCGGTACTTAACCCCTTTCCACGACATTATTCTCGTGACTCGTAACACGTAGCAACTACTAATGCGAAACAGCCACTCTGAGAGTAAATCCAACCGTGAACAGCATCGATCAAACGACGCCATTCCCAGAATACGGTTTCCAAGAAACTCGCTTTGAAACCATAGCAAAAGACTTTACGCGGTTTCCCGGGGTTTTCGTAAAATTCTTTCTTGGAATTATATAAATGCATTTCTTTATTTCGTCTTTATCATTTTTGTTTTCATTCTTTATAAGTACATAACATATATCGCATTATATTGCTGCAACATTAACGTTACTTTATGTTATAACATCAGTATTGTCCCTTGTTGACTGAAATCATTTGAAATAACTTCACGCCTCGAAAAGTATGCA